ACACTCTGAAGAACGTATCCTTCCTATTCTGGCATGGTTTCTCCGCGCGTATAAACCTAATAGAATCTCGCAAGAGAGATACGCGGCGGCAGCTTGTATGTCGTAAAACGATGCGCCACCGGTTTATAGTTTATAGTTCGAGTGCTTACGCGGTGGTCGTGTATGATTGAATGGAGGAGGATTTAAAAGGGATCACGCTTTTATGAGCGGTATTAGGAACGATAGCGTTAAAGCGCCGCGTGAGAAGGTTTTACTGTCTACGTAGACGCGCAAACAACTAATTTTACATTAATTTCAGCGAGCCACTCATTTGTTGCCGGATAAAGAATAACTATAATCCATTCAAATACAATCGCAATGTATATAGTAGAACTTTAATTAAAGCTTACTAGAAAGTCGTGCATAATTTTACTTCTTGATGATGCGTTAACGCCGCTAAATCTATTCTATTTCTAATGCAAGGTAAAGGGAATTAACAATGAATCAAAGCAATAATCTCAACTATACACCGATTTTTATTTTATCCTCGCGCAAAAAATTTGTATGCTATTACGCATAAAGTAATACAAATTAAGAATTGTTAGGAAAAATTTTTATGTGAATACGGATTATCACAAAATCGTTACACGTAATTTAATATCTCGACAATATATTTTTCATTAATATTAAAATATCGGTATCAGAATTGCACCAAATATTACAGACAATATGATGCATTTTATATACGTGTTTCCAGAATATTAAACAACTTGCGCAAGCCATGCTGAGGAAATAAAATGCGTGTTACAGTCTCCGTGAACGCAGATACGGATCTGCAATCGTTAAGGCAAACGAGGTGAACCATAAACTCCACCGATCGCGATGGCTTCTACCGATATCGAGATTGATAAGCGGGAATTTCTGCGCACACGGAGTGTGTAACGCGCGAAACGTTAGTGCGCTCTCGTGCGCGGAATGCATCTCTCATCTCGGAATAATAACAATGCCCCACGGGCCACGAAGTCAATGTGGAGCAGCTGGAATCTACGTAATGAAAGTATGATTGATGATTCGACCGACGCGCATCATTAGCTCGATATGGAGGAGTGAACCGAGAAGGATATGCATGCTTGCAAGTTCCGACAAGTCGTGCACGAGCGTCGTCGACACCGTCGTCGTCTTGAGATGTATTCTGAATTAACGTGTGTATGTGATTCCGTTCTAATACAATTCTTCGCAGAGCTCGCATGAAAAAGATTATGGCACAATTCGAAAGTACATGTGGACAGATAGCGATATGCTCCTTGAATTTCTGCGTAATTAATAAAGGAAAGACGAGGCATTTGACAAATACAAAACATAAAATATTTCTATATTTTATAAAAATTCCTTTAATTTTCTAAACAGATATGTTAATACATTTTTATTTAATAAGTATTTGTATAAATTCGATTATTGTTTATAATAAAATTTAACTTTTTATGAATTAAAAAGCTTTCATAGAAATTAAATAATTTGCATTTACTAATCAATAAGATTAAATTATTTGAAAGTGTTTTTCGATCGATGGTATAAAACTATAAAAACACAATCGTTCAAAGGACAAACAACAATTTTAGCATTGCTACCAACAGATCACGAGGGACTAGAAGCATTTGAAAAACACATTTATCTCACTTCCGTTGGAACAAAATCTGCCCTGGGGCCTAATGCTTCGGCTATTAAGCTTTAATGGACTGCTGATCGTCGATGGAGAGCAGAATAGGAGCAAACGGGGAGTAATACAGGCTGAATCTCTGAGGAATTGGAAAAATAGTTGAAACTGCGAACTTGGTGGACCTTCACGACGTTTCTTGTTCTCTCTCTCTCTCCTTCATCATGTTCATTTCCATCCATGAAAATATTCCGCGTGTCATTCTCTGGCTACAATAATCGACTGAAACGTAAGACAGCAGCGGGACGCCCTCGCAGAACTCCATCGATTTCAATCGCGCGCAAAAGATGTGCTCTTTCTAGTGAAACTGGTTTCCCAGTCGAAGAGTAAGCGAGAAAACGGAGGCAATGGCACCGGCAGGCGGAAGGGCTGGAAAGGTCGTGGGATGCCTGTTTGCGGCACGATGGAACTGTGATCAGGATTGACTCGGGATGATAATCTGGCGTACACGAGTTTCCACTTTGCCCGATGCGAACGACGACGTTCAGGTCGCCGAGCTCTCGCTGTCCTCGTCCCCCGATACTCACAAGCCTCTCTTCCGTCATTTCCCTCGCGAATATCCCTTTAACTATCGCTCGAATTCACTGGTAATACATATGCGTCGCAATTATTAATATTGTTGACTCAGCAAAGAAAGCGTTTCTTAATAGCGTCGGATGTCAATTTTTTATTAAATAATATACATACTGTATATATAACAAGAAAGTTTAATAAAGCGAAGGTTCTGAAATTTAATTGAGAAAAAATTTTTAATTATCTGCGAAATCTTACATTACAGGATGTTATTGTAATCATCAATTCGCGCAAGTCTTATAACATTGATAACATACTCTTGTAAATTTGAATAAAATCTGGAGAACACAAAGACATTTATGATACTCACGGAGAAGATTCTCACAAAGAACTTGAACACTTGAATGTTATAGTACACTCTATACGTTTTCTATCTAGCATACAAAAGTACGGAAGCATGCTGTGGACTATCATTTGCAGAAGCCCGCGAGAAGCGTATGCGTCAATTCGGAGGAAAGAGAGAAAAAGAGAGAGAAAAAAGAAGAGACCGATTCCTTGCTATTCCAGAAAGCGCGTTTCGTGGATACGTTTGGATAGCGGATAAAGCACCCCTAAAGCCCAGTTTCGACAGAGCAAACAACCCGTAACTCAGTGAGTGTTTATGAGGGGGTCACTCGTAAAAATACGATGCGAATCGGACTTTCTCTCTCTTTCTCTCTCTTTCTCTGTATATTTCGACCGTTTAGTCGACTTACCCTCGCCAAACTTTTCCTCGGGCATTTCTTTCCACGTCGCGGAACAAAGACACGGTTACGAATAAAAACGCAAGAGAAAGACAAGACAACCGTTAGAGTGAGAAGAATTTCCACTGTGGCAACGGGAGCATGTTCCCTGATCATAAAACTCGGTCTGATCACCGCTACCAATTATCCCACCGTTATCCGAGTGTTATCCGAACGTTATCCGGAACGTTATCCACCTCTGCCCACCCGATACTCCACGGAAGAACCCTCTCACCATCATCCGAATCACTACCGATCCCTTGAACCCTAACTGAGAGAAAACAAGAGAAAGATAGAGAGAGAGAGAGAGAGAGAGAGTGTGTGTGTGTGTGTGTGTGTGTGTGTGTGTGTGTGTGTGTAAGAAAGAGAATGGCTCTATCCTAAACACGAAGACCCGTTGTTGTCGCCTTTTACTGCAAACGAAGTGATTCTCTCCTCGTAAACGCGTCATCTTTACAGATTATTCGATGAAGGAATATATTTTCCTGATGTATCAAACTTTCAATTCTCTCATATTGTTCTATCTTTAATAAAGTTAATAAGATTATTACAATACATAAAAAAATATTCTTATTTTATAAATGCTTAATATGTAGCTGTAAACGCTATATGCGGCTCAATTAAAAAATATTTTAAAACAAATTTCTTTTTAACACAAATTTCCTCATATACAAAATTACTTAAATAATTTAATCGAAATTGCTTGGATGAACTTAATAAAATTGTTAATCTTAGTTTAAGAGAATACGTTCGAATATATCATAGCGCACGAATTTCAGCGTCTATTCCCTTTTACTCTGATTGTAATTACTATTAATTTTTATCCTCATATAATCTTCATAGATAAAAAATTATGCATATATGTATATTAATTACTTAACACAAAAGAAATTTTAGTTCTAAAAATTTAGTTTTTATTTGTATGTTAAAAATTCTGTTAAAGAGAGAATTGACAGTTCGCGAATTATCCATTTGCGTGAAATGAAACTTGATAATAATACTTTCTAAATCACGAAACGGAATGATTGTCGGACATAATATTAATCAGACATGCAAGAGAGAAGTGAAATTCAAATTTCCATCATAAGCGAACGACTGATAATCGAATCACGAAGTGATTTGATTTCAGAGAGAAACATTGCGGATATACAAATATAATGTATACGACGCTAAAGGTTTCATTCGAGTCGAATGTTTCGTTTATTAAAAAATAATACCAAGAATATACTACGTAAAGACTGAATATTTGTTACATGAAGTATTAAAGAGATATTAGATGTGACTGTTGCATCAAATTGTCAACTATAATTATACTATACAACCATTCGTAAATCATCAGCTGTTAATCAAGTTTCCGTACTAACTGCTACCTTTAGTATGTAAAAAGAAAATGATTAAGTACTTTATATTAATGTAAGATTATTGCATACTCTGTATTTATTGTAAAAGTGACAACACTAATTTGAAATTCATAATCTAATTATTTTCTATATAATAAATCAGACTTTTTTAAAAATACTATTATTTAAAAACAGTATCTTAAATAAAAAAAATTACTTTATAATTCTGCATAAATTGACATTAATGTATTTTTTAACATATGTATAATATAATTAATAGATATTTATGAAATTTGTGTACAATTTAGTTTGCAGAATTAACAATAATTCGATGTTAAATTTTCTCTCATTGTGATAGAAATCATAATAAATATTCATATTAAATGTAATAATAATTTTTCGTTAAAAATAAAACTTTATTGAAAAATTTAGTAACATGAAACAATCTTAAAATGCACAGAAATTGGCTTACTAAAGCACCTTATTAAAAAAACAAATTTCATCTTATTTAAATTAAAATAAATTATGTTAATTCATAAGAATGAGAAAAGTGATACGGAAAATAAATATATTCGTGAGATATATCCGGCATAGATGGCACAATATTGTACGTGTCTCTTGTATTGTATGAGTGTATGTAAATGTTTGTTGGCTGAAGTGGATTCGTCTTACCGGCTCGATTACTCTGGTCGATCATTGGTTGAACGATTCTACGTCTCGCGTTTATGAACCTGAAACAAACGAAACAAATTACGTTAATAAAATAATTTATTTATTTTTAATAATTCATAATGCAAGATAATTTTTCGATACAGCAAATGTAATAATCGTTTAATTCTTAAAATATGATAATTTTTCTATATATTATATAAAGAATAAAGAATTTTTTTTTTACTTTCATAAATTCGTCTTGCAAATATTATACTTTACACCTTTTCATTTCCTTCGCATTTTATGTAAGCGATGTAAAAGAAGATTGTCTTGACGCAATTCGCTATCTTTGTAACAATCAAGAAAAAGCGAACTGCAACTGGTTCGGGAGATGAGCGAGTAAAAACGGAAAAATCCGGTAAAGAGGAAGAAAATCCTCGATACGTCATTAACCGCGTTGAAGAAGCTTCCATGTGAACGCTTTCCGAACAATAGATCTGCGGTCTGTTTCGATGTTGGTCGAAGTCCAAGAGGGTAGTAAGTTCAATATAGTATGAGATAGGAACAACCAGGGAGGAACGGTGGTAGAATGAGCGAAACACGAAGAGGAAGGGCGTACGTCAGCCGACGTCAGCGTCGCGGCGCCCTAATGGGCGCAGACGCCGGAAGTGATTGGGTTTCTGCTCGACTGACTCGAGCACACCCCCTTCCCGTCGTAGAATACTCCAGTTCCCTGCCAGAAGGGATGAGGAGGACATAAGCAAGTCCCGAAGAAGCGATGGTACCCCCTCGCTTGTTTGCAGCACATCTTTCTTGCTTAGTCTCACGTCTGGTCGACTCTCACAGGAAAATCTTATGAATAATAATTATTAAACTCTCATCGCATCTCTCTTTTGTACATAGATGCACATGGCCATTGTCGCAGTTAAGACGCAGAGAGTGTCCATAAGTTATTCGACAAGTCATCGAAAGTCAAAAGAGCTTCGTTCGACTGAATGAGTAGTAAAGGACTTTACAAGTGACCAGCATACATGCACGTAGAGGTACAGAGATAACCATAAATTATATATCGTCAATCAGATATCTAAATGCGTTATAAACATCTTCAGACTATGTATTGAGATATTTTTATCAAGATCGTTTTATAATAATTATTATATACATTCAGTGTTATACTGAATATAAAACAAACATATATAATACCTATTGATTCAACTATCGGATTATAAATGTTCTAATAAAAGAAGAGAAACCGCATACAAATTTTTTTTAACACTATATAAATCTTTCTTTGTAAGAGAAAGTTACATACATAAATATAAATTGTAACAAATAAATTTCTACTTATTTACATATTCAGCCAAAAGTCATGTAAAAAAATTCTCTCTAACATCAGAAAATTCTGAATATAATAATGCGGTGCAAATATGAATGCAATACAATAAATAATTAGATGTAATCGTTTTGGAATCAAATTCTTGACTAGTCGGACGAAAGAGTATCGTTGCGCGAATATGAAACCAAGGATCCCTCTCTGGCTCCCATATACTCCTAAACGCCTCTGATTCCTCTTTGGCGAGGTAAGCAACCTCGCGTCACAACCAGCTGACACTAACCACCCCCGCTTTTCCACTTTAGCAGCCACCGTCGCAGCTGAAATGTCGCTCGAACAATGGTGCACAACCTTCTAACCGAAATGAGAAAGAGAAAGATAGAAAAGAAGAGACTTGCAAAGAGAGACGAAAACGGCGAACTGCCCAAATTCTCTTCCAAGAGTTTGGTTGCCTGGTGCTCTAGCGAAAATCAACTTACGCTAGGAAAACTTAGGCTTATCACGTTGCAAGAATTCTTTTTTATATGCATCTCTTTTTTATATTCATAAATAAAATATAGTAAAACTTAACATTTAGATCAGAAATTATAATTATAACTTTATTGTTTGTGTTAATAAATCTTTTAATAAAGAAATAGTAAAAATTTAGATATTAAAATTATAAATATAGATTTCTGAGACTTGAAACTAAAATATTCATCAACAAATTCATTACAAATATAGTACGTTATAAAATAATTGTCACTTAATCGATCACGAGTCAAAAAACCTTTTCCCTTGAAGGCAAGAACCTCCCCCTTCTCTGTGCATTGTGAAACAAATTTATTTCTGAGAACTTTTGAATATACGGAAGGATGAAGAATAGAGATTCAATTTATACTTTATCATTAAATTTTAACTTTGTATTTAAAACAAAAATGCCATTGAAATCTTCAAAATGAACGTAAGAGCATCCCAAAAGCCCCCCTTGTAGTAAAACATAACAAATGATTTATAGAGTGTACAATTTTTCAATATTTTGACTATAAATATTAGATATATTTAAAAAATTATATATATTCTTTAAAATAAGAAAAATGTAAAAAAATTCAAAATTCCAGGCTCTTTTATATTCTTTCTTCACTTTTTCAAGCTTTTAATGGCCAATTTAAATTTCCATAACTTCCAAATTTTCCAGATTTTTCAGGTCTGCGGCAACCCTCGTTTCTACTCAATATAAAAATAAGACATTTTGTTTCTGTTCTTTATACTATCTATAAAAAGCGTTACAATTTTCATTGACTGAAATGAGAAACCATTAACAAATGGTAAAGTCAATCAGACACCGAACGGACGAATTGAATAAGCGAGCGGCTCGGAAATCGCGCTAATGAATTACAAACAGAATTTCAAAAAGCATACGAGAATTATTGACGAATCGCTAATATACGGAATTTACCTTACTTTTTACGGATATATATAACATATTTCTGCAAGAAAAGATAAAAATATAGTATTGAATTGGAGAACGGATGTCTCTCATATGCCTTTTCATACATGAATAATGCCTATGTTTGCTTATATACGTTATACGCAATTCTCTGTATATCGACTCATATAACATTTAAGAAATTTTAAGAAATTTTAAATAAGATGACAGTAAAAAAACTGCGAATTGATTCTTTCATTCTTTTGAAATTCTCTTTCCATATCCCCTCTTTTCCTCTCTCTCTCTCTCTCTCTCTCTCTCTCTCTCTCTCTCTTTCTCATTAAAAATTGTCCAAGTACAATAAAAAATTAATTATATATATAAATAATCAGCAACATATTCCCTCTTTATTCAGTCAGTAAAACCATTGTAAGGTATGCTTTATATTTATTTCATTGCTATACACACAATTAATTTTTAATTAATTATTGCATAATGAATATCTATAACCATTTCTAATAAAATAATTTTATTAAAAGAATAGTATGTTATATTTGTTAGCTAGAGAGATTTTTTTGAAATAATACAGCAAGCAAAAAGCATGAGAGAAGGGCTTTCTTCATCGTTGTGCGAGTGCGTGAGTGGAGTAACGATGATTACTGTCGCGCTAGCAGCATTTACTCTCCGACGGCATTCGCAATTATCGGGGAGCCTCCATTAGTTAACTGCAGTCGATACGCAGTGCACCGGGTCCTCGCATCAAAACATCATTACTGCCCGAACACGAGAGCGCGAGAGCTACCGTACTCGCAGTACTATTGGTAATCAATTTCGCTCCCGTGCCGTGGCGTACTACTGGCGAGAGCCGCGTTAATGTGAAGCCTCAGCGTTCGCGTCGCATTACGGGAAATCGAAAAGGTAGTCTCGTAATGATTACGCGTTAGGAAACGGATCGACTGACGTGTAGGTAGCCGTGAGTTGCCGTAAAAAGAGTGTTTTAATTAGAAACTGAATGAGTGCGCATGAGTTGAAATAATTTTCATCGTTTAAAGGAGAAAATAGATTAAAATAGGTAAAATATTATATATATGTATATATATATATGCTTAAGAGAGAATAGTATTGCATTATTATTATTATTAACATTATCAAAATTTATTATTATTATTAAATCTCGTGGAATGTGTTGCTCTACTTAACGAGGGTTTCAATCAATAGTGAAGTAATAACGGTGCAATTATTTTTATTGAATTGGACTGCTACATACGACCTGTGGAGTTTGATTATTTATGTAATTATCCCTTCCTGCACCATAGTTAATGAGGGAACATAGTTAATGAGGATCTGACCTCGCAATCCAATCGACAATCGATTTTTGTCTGTATAAAATTACCTCTAGTCTCACTAATGCGAATTGCCGTTGCATCAGAGAAAACAGCCGTCATAAGCATTGCATTCCAGAAAACAAATGCTTATTAGGAGTTGATTGTATAGATAAGACATTAATAGAAACATACACTGTTTCGTATCTCATATTTAAAACCTACAATCCTTATATAAATAATTTAGTAATTATTCAATAAACCTCTTATGATAGGCAAGTCGATATAATTTACAATTAGTAACTCAAATCACAGAATTAAAAAATATATTCTCTCTCTTTCTCTCTCTTTCAACGATTGAGTTATAAAATAAAAGGACACGAAGCACAATGTGTGTGTGTGTGTATCCTCTCTCTAAGTCTCCATACGCACATTTTTTCAAGATAATTTTATTGCATCAACAAAAAGGTAAGGTCGCCGCTTGAGCTCGCGCGATCAAACGAAGGAATATAAATCTGAGCGTTCATAAGACTAGCGTCGTGCCAGTGCATTTACGATCGATAAAATCATTTTATCCGAATATAATGCACTGGTCGATTCATGTGCCGCTCCTGGCGAGTTCCTCCTTTTTTTATTTTCTGTTTTGTTTTCTCTCGCGCTGCCGATCGTAATCATGATTTTATTGTACTCAGTCCGCTTACGTCTAGCCTGCACACTGATGAATCTCCTCGAAAGTGCGGCATTCGCGGACGAACGAATCGTACCCTACACAATATATAATTCTTATTCGACAAATTAAATGAACATATGGATCGTCGTATCCTTCCACTTTGTAATCAAGTTTCCTGCAGAGGTCGTTGGCAAAATTGCAAGCGCTCTGGACAATTTTGGAAATCGAGAGTTGCTGTCCAGATTAAAAATTTGCATTTACGATTGTTACACATCAAATTAAATAAGTATTCAAGATTTATATAAACATTTGCATTGCATCTTCTTCTTATTTTAAAATTATGTGTG